TAGCTGATTCGGTGATTATTGCTACCGGAGCTGTTGCGAAGAAGCTTGATTTCCCGGGATCTGGTGAAAATGGAGGGTTCTGGAATAAAGGGATATCGGCTTGCGCTGTATGCGACGGCGCGGCGCCGATATTTAGGAATAGGCCGTTGGCGGTTATTGGGGGTGGTGATTCGGCGATGGAAGAAGCGAATTTCTTGACGAAATTTGGGTCGAAAGTGTATATAATTCATAGGAGAGGTGAATTTAGGGCTTCGAAGATTATGCAAAAGAGGGCATTGGAAAACCCTAAGATTGAGGTATTGTGGAATTCGACGGTGGTTGAGGCGTTTTGGGGATGTTGAGAAGGAGAATAGGGTTTTGGGAGGGTTGAAGGTGAAGGATGTTGTTAGTGGGGAGGTTAAGGATGTGCAGGTTTCTGGGTTGTTTTTTGCTATTGGGCATGAACCTGCTACTAGGTTTTTGGGGAATGAGGTGGAGTTGGATGCGGATGGGTATGTGGTTACGACACCGGGTACGACGAAGACGAGTGTGAAGGGTGTTTTCGCAGCGGGTGATGTTCAGGATAAGAAGTATAGGCAGGCTGTTACTGCTGCTGGGACTGGTTAGTGTTTGTTTATATGGTTTTGGTTTGATTTGTTTTTCTGTATTGTGTTATTGCATATTTGCATTGTTGTGTTTATTATGTAAATGCTTGTGTCGTGTATATATCATTGTGGGATTTGTTAAGACATTACAATGGCTACCTAGTCGCAAACTCGAGCTTGAAGATTCTTGAGAGGTTTGGGGGCGTTTATATCCATAATCCATTCCTTTGATAGCTGTATATATTCATGTGGTCGAAAGGCTTGGGGTCCTATAGGCTATAGCCCCTGTGGGCTGTAGTATGTGAAAGGGGATAATGGAAAGAAGCTAGAAATGGTACAGTGTGCATAAAAGTTTGTTTACAAATCTAAGATTGCAGTGTATATGATATAGGTTAGAGGTGTAATTAACACTGGAAGAATAGGTTTAGTTGAGCCTTGATTAGGCATACATCCCTGTCCTGTATTTTGCTAACAAGACATTGTTGATTTTTCGGTTTGATTTGCTTGTGTTGTTGCAAAACTTGCAATGCTGTGTTTTGATGCTAAAGCTTGTTGAGCTGAAATTGCAATGTTGCCAGAGGTATGATGCACTTTGGGGATGGGTGCAATTGAGCTTAGGTTGGACATTTGTAATTGTTTTTTGGTATTACAATTCTGTTTGTACTTTTGTACATTTATAAGATTTATAACACCTAGCAAGTTGGGTTGGATGGATTTTGAAGATTTGGGTTGTTTAACTATGTTTTCCGGAGGTGTAGGTTTATAGGTTTGAAGAATTTTGACGTTTCTTTTGCTGTGTGTGATAGGGAGAGTGTGTAGGCTTATAGCCCATTATGTTTAGCCTTATTTATTGCCTCTGGGGGATAAAATTTGCTACTGATTATATCATTGAGAGGCTGAGTTTCAATTCACTATATTGCTATGATAACAATGGCACACTTTGAAGAATACTCTTTGTATGAACTCAGAAGAAATGCCAATTCACTATAGTTTTTTTGAGGATTGATTCTTGTTTATTATCCCTTATTTTAATGATGATAAGTTGATGTCCCCTCCCACTGCAATATGACAGAGAAAAGTGTAGGATCCTATATTTGAGCTCCAAAGTTCCCTTGGCTGATAATCCTTCGCGTATGGCTGAATAGACTGGCAGTGTTTACTTCCGGTTGAAACCTTGTCGAGAGTACCTTTTTTTTTTTTTTTTTTTTTTTTTTTTAACAATATTTTTAATGGTGTGGTTTGATTTGTTTATGTGCTATATAATATGTTAAGTGGCTTGCAATATAGCTTTAGATGTAGTATGATGCACTTTCGTGAGTGGATTTAATTGAGCTTTGGAAGGAAATATGTCATAATGTTATTGTCTTGATTTTCTGGTGTCCAGATAGAATGTTGGATTTTCTAAGACATTCTAGTTGTTAGTATGATTAGAGAATACTATAGGCGTTTCCTTGTTACTTGGAGATTCTGTAGGTTTACGTGGCTGAAGGGCAGAACGCTTAGGTGTTTGAAAGTAGAGGATGAAAGGAAGCAATTGTTTCTCTACGATATTACATTCCCCTTCCCCTTTCTTTTCATGTCAATGTTTCTCTGTTGCGGGTATGCTGTTAGTGAAAGGTTACTTGCATGTTTTCATTATAGTGATGTTCAGAAATTAAATGTCTGAGATTCCCAAGTCCTCAACATTTCATGACAATTCACTTGTTGCTACTCATCGGGCTCACAAATACCAGGCTACCAGCCCCACCTCAGACAGTTATAATTAGTATTAGCCTTATAGCTTATGTGTCTCACCTGCCTCTCTGCCTATTACACCTAAATCCACAACATATACAACAATTTACTCAACTCTGGCTGTTTGTGAGAGCCTAGCAGTTTTCATGCATTCAATTAACAACCTATGATTAGGTGAATATTAGAATATTACCAAAAGAGTTATCTCCAGAAATGGCAGTAATGGTTCACCAAGCTCCTCATGGATCTCTATCGACAACAGCCACTAGGCGGTTGATTAGGGGAGTAGACGTATGATAAAGTTTTGGACGTTATTCAACTTGATCTTGATTTTACTAGGATAACTATCTAGCATGTGTCAACTTACACTCTAGGATTTTCCCCTTGTATACACTGTTCCATGTCTTTCATCCATTTTAATCTACTTTCTTTCCTTTTGAATTTGAGAGATGATATACACACCATCCCCTCTCACGGAGGCAGAGGTTTTCACGCGTGGGATTTTTGTTTTTTTGGGTGTGTGTTTGGGGGGGGGGGGGGGGAGATTATTTCAAAAGGCAAGTGGACAAGTTACACTTTAATTGTCAATTATTACTAATTCTGCCCAAGGGCTGCAAATGATAGATATAGCCATATGGGACTGATTCCTGTCTATTTCTGACGACATCCCATCTGTATGATCTCTCCATTTATCTGGGATGTTTTCCGTGCTAAAGTCAAAATACCTGCTGCTTGTAGACTTGTAGTAAATGATATCGTTATGTGGCTGGTAGATATAAATGGGTTTTAGCTCAGGAGTAATCGAAGTGCTTTGCATATAATGGGAGGACTCTAGTGAGTTATATTCTGGGTCGTTTTTATGAATAAAAACTTAGTTTTGATTATGATGATTCAGGTTGCATGGCTGCCTTAGATGCGGAACATTACTTGCAAGAAATTGGTGCTCAAGAAGGCAAGAGTGATTGATTATTGAACGACGACGCGGAATGGCCTCCAATTGAAATTGTTTCTAAAATTTAGCCCCTGATATTAGGCTCCTATTCTTCATGAAATAATTTATGGATTGTAATTGATAGACTCCTTATTTGCAACAATTCTTTAATGCAACAGTTCAGTTCTTAATGGCTTAATGCCATTCAAGTTATCCTTTTTTTTTCCCTTCCCCCAAATAATGTTTTACTTTGTTTTTTTTTTTTGATTGTCATGTCTGTTGCTTTGGTTTAACTGCATATTTTGACCTCATGGTTATTGCAGAATGATAGATACAGTGAAGATTTAAACAAAAAAACTTTCATTATGCATAATATATTACTCTGTAATATATACATAATATTTTACTTGTCACAAACAATTTTCTAAACATAGAAACAAAATTCTAGCAATTTCATGTGTTTTTTTTTTGTTACAAAAATTGGGGTGCCAACATTTTGCATTCGCTATACACAAACATCATCAAATGGCTCAACATACTTTCCTTGTGAACTCGAAGGAGGTCTTTTCCAGGTTGCTTTTGTTAGTGATCATTCCCTAATGACCATTATAATGATCATCAGAAACTTTCCAACTATCCCTTTCACAAATCTCCATGAACCTTGCCACGTCGGATTCTGGCCTGGTGAGCTGTTGAACTATCTCCCTAAACTTTGAAGAACAAATCGTAACATTCATGGGGGTTGAGATGTACACAACCTTGATCGCTTCTTTTCTCGACGATTTTCTGCTCAACCTTCCATTTTCTGATCTTCTGCTTCTTTTGTCATTCTCTAGTTCTCTTTCTTGCCAGTTGTGACCTCTCTGCATATCAATCTTTTTTTTTGGTAATTTAATGTGAATGAAAAGTGTATGTCCGACTTCAAATGAAGATTTATTGCAATGCTAATTCTCTTAAATAGGATATTTGAAAATGGATATTTCGTGGAAGGGGTATATAGAAAAATAAAAGGGAGGATAATTCTCTAAATAAGACTATTATGACCCGTAAGCTTGATGTAGATGATTTAAAAGGCTTGGAACATTTTCATGTTGATTTTGTGGTTAGTTTGAATAAATCATTAATTTTTTTTCTTTCTTTCTTTTTTTTTTCTTTTTTTTTTTTTTGTTACAATTATTTGAAGATTTTCGTAGGAAAGGAGACAAAGCCACTTGAGATCATCTAGTGGCAAAATAATTCCGAATATCTTTGATAATTTTTTCATAATTATTACAGTAGTAATTTGAATATTTGATGGAATTTACAAGTTATACTCCATCCGCTTGATTAAGAACGTGGGTTAATCTATATTACAAAAATCTTTACAATAATTTTCGAGTTGGATTTAGAATTTAGGTTGAGTAACTCTAATTACCTAATCGGTTTCTAATAAGTTTTGTAAATGTGAGAGTATCTTGAGAAGTCAAAAGGAAAAATACCAATGGGAGGTGATTTAAAGAATGTGAGCTAGCTTATATTCGAATGCAATTGGAATTTTGTGGAAGTACAGTTTATCTGCCATAGAACACAATCAACAAAATTAGAAAGTAAACAGTGGTGGCTGCCAATAATAGTCTTGTATTTTGTGAAGTTAATTCATCCAGATTCTGATTATTACCCTTCAACTAACTACTACTATTATTTTCATTGAGTAGAACATTTAGATTTATCAAGTGGGAATTCTAATAGTATTCCAAAGTTGAAAGCATTTATTGATGTGTAAGCTTAGTTAAAAGTTATAAAAAAAGACCAACATTGAATTACAAACTTTTTTCCATGTTTCTTACTACGTATATACTTTTGTCGTTTCTTAATACATGCAATATTTCAACTTGTTTTTTACTATTCACGTACATTCAATTAGGATTGTCCATAATTCTAATTAGCGAACAATAATCAAGCAGAAGTAAGTTGTGATATATGCTTGGTAGATCTGTTGTATTTTAAATGGCTCTTAACAAGCTGACCAGCTGCAATAGCAGATAAAAGAGAGAGCTCTCCAGCAAGAACAGAAGCAGCTACAATTGTTGCCAAAACCCTTGAATTTTCTCCTTCTTTCTCTTTGTTTGCCCCTTTTACTCCTAGTAGATTTAAGCATGCTGCTTGTGATGCTAGTTGGGTCCCTCCTCCTACTGTGCCTACCTGAGAAAATTTTCATTTTAATTTCTAATTAATCATATAATCCTAGTTAAAGTAATCATTAATAAATAATACAACGTCTTTTTTTACATCGAAATAGTACATCACACCAAAAATTAATGTTGTACAAGAAAGATATACAACAGTTGCATAACATTTTTATTTTATACGAAGTAATTGTTTAATTGGTTAATGGATAGTTGGTTGTGCCACATAAGATATATAACAGTTGCTTACATTTTCATTTTATACAGAGTAATTGTTTAATTGGTTAATGGGTAATTGGTTGTGCCACATAAGATATATAACAGTTGCATAAGATATTTTTGAAATATTAGAACAAGGGACCAATGAGGTATATGTGAAAAACTTGTTGTTAGCAGCAGAATCTACAGACTGAACCTTAATAATCAATTATACAAGTGGATGGTTCATGCATGGAAATACAAGATGCAGGTGTCATTAATGAAATAAGATTTTCATAGTTTCACTAATTGGAATCGTTGTCAGGATATGATCAGGTGGGTTAATGCAAATTAGAGAATTAATTTCAACACAAACAAAATGTTCTTCCGTAGCAAAGCTACATATATGGGAACGTGACAATCGTACGTCAAGAAAAGTTTTCGATCGATGCATTCTTATGAGTCGTGTCTACTATAGTACTATATACTCCCCCGTTTCATAATATGATGATTATGATTTTCGAGCTTAAGTTTTGACCGTAATTCTTAAAAATCTTATGATGTAACGTATGGATAAAATTTACGAGTAATTATATTTAAATATGTTGGTAATTACCTCAATAGAAGGCATGGTAACAGAAATATGGAGGTCCTTGCCATGATTAATAGCTTCGAGCATAGTAATACAATTTGAGCTCTCCACATTTTGAGCAGGATCTTGGCCTGTCGCTATGAAAATTGCAGTAACGATATTGCTAGAGTGAGCATTATATCCACCGAGAGCCCCGGCCATCGCCGATCCAACGAGGTTTTTGAGGTTGTTAAGCTCAACCAAGGCCTCCACACTTGTCTTCAACACATTCTTTACCACCTCTTCCTTTATGGTTGCCTCACATACCACTGATTTTCCTCTGCCTTCCACCCAGTTCACTGCTGCTGGTTTCTTGTCTGAGCAGTAATTTCCTGTCCCAGTTATGAATGTATACAACAAATAATCTTCAATTTTTTTCATTATTGTGACTGTAAAAAGGTGTGATACTCTTTTTGTCTCAAAATGATTGCAATACTTAATTGCTTTTCAAGGTCAAAGTACATACTTGATACTACGAGTAATGTCGTACTATATGAAGAAGAAAACAGTGTCATGTAAAATCTTGTTAGAATTCAACAATCATTATAAAAATATTAATCCTAGATTTTTTTTTTTTTTTTTTTTTTTTTGCATATCAACATGTAATCAAGTCATGTGATAGGATGGTCAAAGATACATCTTGAATATCGTAAAAATCAAGTGTATGTTTATGTATATACCGGATATGCTGATAACATCCATGTCAGGGAAGTGGGCATGAAGGTGAGCAAGAACATTTTGTACACCTTTAGAAACAATATCCATACCCATTGCATCTCCTGTACTGCAGCTAAACCTCATGTACAAATCCTTCCCTGCTACTGTACTTTTTATGCTTTGCAATCTCACAATACCACTTGATCTGCATATATAAACAATGAACATTATCTACAAATTGAGTACATTTACTAGTACTAGTTTATATTGTAATAAAACCATAAAAACCTGGTAAATATGCCAGCAATGGCATAAAAATTTCCAGGATCCTCCAAGAAGAACTTAACCTCAGCAGCCCTCTTAGCCGACCCGAACCGCGCCACAGGCGCCCGAGTCATCCCATCCTTAAACACCTTACTATAAGCCCCACCGGATTGGTACACTGCCTTGCATCCTCGGTTGGTGCTAGCCACTAGACACCCCTCAGTCGTGGCTATCGGAACATAATACTCCTTCCCATCGAGCAACAAGGGCCCCACCACCCCTACAGGCATCTGCACGTACCCCACTGCCATCTCATGATATTGCCTGAACGCAGCCTCGTAGTCAAAACCCTCCACGGGCAGGCCCTCTACGGACTTCCCCGTGGTTTGCTCTTCAATTTTCCATTTGTCAGTCATCACCACCACAGACTCCACATAGTCTGAGGTGGCGGGGAGTGCAGGTTCTTCAGCATCTACTTTAGATTTACGTGGGAAAATAAAGTAGATGCTGAAGAACCCAATGAAGTAAACAAGAGAGGCAAGAAGAGAGAAAAAAGCAATGATCTCAGACAAAGGGATAGGCATCGTCGTCGTTTCATAATCATGTATGTTAACTCTCCAACAGCAGAGTAGGAAGTAAGCTGCAAAGAAGAACAATGTGAGGAAGAACGCATTGACAAGGTTGTTGAGAGGCAGTTCGCTGGCGGATCGCCAGCGAACGAGGTACATGTAAGGGAATGAAGGAAGAAGATGAGCGAAGGTTTAGGGAGGATTGAAGAGATACTACCGTTTCCTGAGCTTGAAAGGGAACAGTCAATAAGTTTTTCCGTTTTTCCGTCCTTACCACGTAGTTTAATTAATACTTGATTATAATTTCTTGTAGTTTGTTAGTAACGTGAAGCTTGTTTTATATAGCTGACCACGTAAATTTCCTGTCAATAAGATAGACGTACTACGATATTTTATTAGGGTGATGCTAACGAAATATGTAACTAAAAGATGATACCGACTCATCTAAATAGTGTGTCTCATTAAATAATGTGTTAACTACATCCATAAATTAGGGAGAATTAGATTATACATTGACACTCGTATTAGGTTTAGAAATTGATTGAGCACATGTATTGTAATCGTACTAATAAGCAATTAGATTAAAAGTCAGACCTCAATAATAATATTTTTTTTTTTTAGAAAGACTTCATTACTACGTAATAATTAATATTAATAAACTGATCCTACTTTGTTAATTTTGATAATATTTTGACTTGACTTCAAGCCTCACGATTTATAGACCAATATTTAAAGGTACACTTTATCATTAAAGGGGAAGGTAAAAGAATCCCCACCATCAAAGTATCTCTAGTGGGAAGGAACAATTTTTCCTACCTTGGTATACATTTTGATATAATTATGTCGCTATAATAAAAAAAAAAAAAAGGCACCGTACAAATTTGAATACTTACAGTTACGGGTACATGCAACTACTATGCAAGTCCACTCAAAGGCAGTGCCAAGAACTGTGTTCTAATTTTGTATTGTCCAAAAGAGATTCCCACCAATTAATTAGTAATCACATTACAATATAAAATGGATGGAAGTGAATTGGTTAGGCAAGAAACAAAACAACATTGTTCAAATCTTAAAAGATAATGACCTTCAATAGAAGGTCAGAAGTCATAACAATCAATAAGGCCACCTAGCCCAATAGAGTCACATGCATACAATGACTCACATTACGGTAAAACGGACTAATATAAATATTTCTCAAGAAAAATCATATCATTTTTTTAGTGTTTAGAGAGCCACAAGACGGTGATGAGAATCAATCTCAGGATCACCTGAAATCAGGAGAGGGGCTCTAACCACTTGAGCTATCTCTAACTCCTATTTATTAGATTTACAAGCCACCAAGATGTATACTAATATCAGTTAAAAAAAAAAAGGGTCAAAAGTAAATGTATGCTAATAAATAATCGAGGGAGTAAAATTTTTATATGCTGGTTAAAGTTTCCATCTCGGTTCTAGGTAATCCTAGGATCGATTCCCATCACTCATAAACACCAAAAAAAAAAATGTAGACCTTGTCAAACTATCCTTGTTAAATTCATCTAAATATATACTTTCAAATATCAACTTCTGTAAGAACAAAATTAGCTAGTTTTGCCAGCTAATTGTTGCTTAATGTGCTTCAAGATAAATTGCTGTTACAATTGATCTCATCTTTCGAATGACTAGTAAAACAGTTAATGAGTAATAACATTGCGTATCTGATCTTAATCATTCAGTACCATTTGAAAGCCCTATGACATTTGAAAGATACTCTTGTCACCAGTCTCACCAGTCACCACCAAATCACCAGTAAATGCCTAATTGGCCAGGCTCTAACTAGATATCACTGTAGCAAAACATTGAACCGACGAGAAAATAGAATCACAATCTTCTGTCCCACTTTTGAGTACCATATGTAGGTCGATTTTACGCAGATACATTTAAACCTACTTTATCATTAAATAATTTGGATTATCGGGTTTGATAATCCTTTATCTCCATACCTCCCTCAACTATCAGACAAAATATACCTATAGTCAAAAAAACACCCAAAAAAAGATACCACGACAGAAAATGATGCTGCCATTGTTAAGTTTATTAAACGGGATTTAACGAGACAAAGATTGATAACTGACAAACAGAGAGATTCTTAGAGATCTTAAAAGAGTGGAAAAAAGAAAGAGAACCTTTTGAAGAATCTTCAGGAAAGTGGCAGATGAAGTTAAAAGAAAAATAAGATAACAAAAGAATTTTTAAAAAAAAAAAAAAAAAAAAAAAAACAGAGCATAATATGCACTCAGGTTACAGTTACCTAAGACACAACCTATCCAGTTAAAAATAAAAAAAGAGATGATGCTGCCTTTACTATCGTCTATTCGTCTGTCTGCCATACAAGACAGTGCATCACTGCATCTCGTGCAGTAATTGAAGGCATATAGCACCGTACAAGACTCTGCATCTCTGCAGTAATTGAAGGCATATAGCGACCTCACGAATATACAACTAAATAAGTTCAGATTTTGCAAAGCTCCTTTTAGTGCAAATGAACACAAACAAAATCAGAGAGGCAGAAAATACAACGATGAATACGTAGTAACAAGAAACAACTTAAACCAATATTAAGCAGATTGTTTATCCTGTACAACATCAAACCATCGACGTGTTTGGCATCCAATCATTCAAGATTAACACCAAAATGTTCAAAAAATAGAGTTGAAAAGGATGGCATACAGCATTATACCTCTACAAGCATGGTAAGAGCCCAAGAGGCAGTGATGTTGGTATTGTAAAATTTGCCCTCTGTCTACAGACACCTGTAAACCACCAAATGAGTCAAAATCCTAGCTAATTTCTCCTCAGAATAAATCTGTGAATGCCAGATTCATTTTTTCATGTGAGTCAAGATCCTACTAATGAGAGCTTCCTTCTTTCCAGTAACAGGAAGTTTGTGGGCTGAGAGGTAATATTTTAGCTCTGCCACTGTTAAATCTTTCAACTGCCACACAGAAAACAGAAGCAAGCAGGAAATCGAGAGTAAGAGACGAAAAAATGGGAACAAAAAGAAGCAAAGATCATCTAAGAAAGTGAACATACTGCAGAGCATTATGATGAGCAAGAGGGTTTCAAATTAAGATCTAACCTTTCCATTATCAGCAAGATCATCCCAGTCATAGTTAGCAGACTCTTGTACTGCCTTTTCAGCGATAGCTTTCCGTTTTCTGGAAGCTTCAGAAACAATACTCTCTCCTTCTTCATACTTATCTCCGTAGACAGACAACTTAAATTCTTCTATTGCATTAACAACACCAGGCCTGTCGGGGATATAACACAGCAGATTCAGGTTATAAATCACAAACGAAAAACAATAATTAAGGCTCTGTGGCCTCGGTCCACTTCTATTTGGGAATAACCAAAAAAAAAGTTTGAATCTTTGTAGATAACACTCCTTCCATTTCATATTGATTTTCCTAATAGGAATGTCTCGGTTTATGAGGAGAATGCGCCCTACCGGACTTGAGCCTCGCACTGGTCAACTCAGCCCGGGTACACGGGCAAGGCCCCTTGGGAGTGGGAGGGGGGAAGTAAGGGAATCCCCACCTCCAAGTTGCCTCTAGTGGGATTGATCCCACAACCTCATGGTTATGAGCCAATATGTTGACCATGCATGATTATTCACTGATGCATAAGAAAAAACAAACTCATAGTGGGATGACTAAAGTCTGCGTAGTTTTCAAATATTAACTTCTCATGAATTTTAAAAATAAGGGAGTCTGGCAATTAGGTGTGAAGAGCCGCTGAAGAAATCAAGTTAGTTGCATAAGCTAGAAACCAAATTAGTTTAGCACACTACCTGGCCATGCCTTCTTCATCAGGAAGGGTTTCGTCCTTGATTTCTGGTATTTCATCTTCTTCCAGAGCCAAGGCCTGTAATACTGCATAGTGCTTCTGCAAGGCTAAGAAAATAAACCTCATATTTTGAGAGCCTTTTACTAGAAGCCAGAGCAAAAAAAAATTTAAATGGAAGAATAAATGTGATAGCCAACATATGGCAAAATCGTAGTAGGGATATTCCCTGCAGCATACACAATTTTTGCAACAAGATTTGGTTAGTGCTAAGAGATGATGATTTTAGATGAAAAAATTGTGATGCAACACAAATCTATAGAATAACTGACTAAGAAACATCGAACTCTATGAACAATAATAGAATGTAAACTAAGACAATATAGCCAATTGTATATCCTCTATCAATACAACTCACTCACTGCCATAAACTAGGAAGCTAAGTGATTAAGTGTTTCTTATCATTCACATGCTTGAATAAATTGAGACAATTTCTGCGTCACCTATATAATGGGAATATCACCTGCATTAACTCCTAAGTTTATGCAGTTTAAAACTACTAAATATTAAAACAGCATTGTTATTCTTTGTAACTATTTTCTATTGCTGGAGCCCTAACTCCCAAGTGACCATCAAATAAGAACACAGTTACCAGGATTACCAGGATTAGGAAACTGGCATACTGTAAAATCTCCTAAATTTACACGTTCATAAGGGTTACAGCCTTCTGAATATCTTCATTTGATGCACGAGGGGTCGTAAAAGTGACATCCATATGAAGCTGCAAAGATTGAAGAACGTTTCCAAAGATCAATTTAGCAGAAAATTGAGAAATTGGCTTATATACCTACAAATTAATCTACAAAAATTATTCCTTGCCTCTTCAGGGTTTCGTATATCATCACAATATGGTAGGTAAATCATATGCATTCAGGAGGCTCGACCTGACCACGTGCAGTAATTACCTCATCCTGCATTCAGCAAGAAAAGAAAATCAAACCAGCACTGAGTTTGTTTCATGGCATGCAAAAATGATAGAGGGAATGCGGGTTTTTTTCATTTTCTTTTTTTTTTTTTTTTTTGCCTTGGGAGGGGAGTGTAAATGAATGCTAAAAGAGGATAGAAATTGAGAATCCAGATAGACGTAAATTTAAGTTGTATAATCCAGCTTCACAATAAACTTTATAAATTTTAGCATAAGCTAGTTAGGTAGCATCATAGTTAACTACTGTGGCTTTGGTCTGGAAGATGTGCTCTGAAGAAAACATGAAGCTATATTTCTCTATACACTGATGATATAATATCTGCCTTTAAGACTTCACTCTCTTATTC